TTTGCCGGAATCCTTGCCGTTTAAATCTGTTTTTAGGGGCTTCCCTGGTGCCGCAGTGGTTGAGAGTCTGCCTGCCGATGCAGGGGACACGGGTTCATGCCCCGGTCCGGGAAGATCCCGCATGCAGCGGAGCGGCTGGGCCCGTGAGCCTGCGCGTCCGAAGCCTGTGCTCCGCAACGAGAGAGGCCACAACAGTGAGAGGCCCGCGTACCACAAAAAATAAAAATAAATAAATAAATAGATAGATAAAGAAATTTCTTTTTTTTCCCCGTCCCCTATCCACTGTCCAAGGACATTCCAGGGCTTGAGGGGAAAGGCTATGACCTAAATTTCACTTTTAAGATTATGGAACTTTACAAAGTTGTGAGGGAAGGCCTTTCTGTTCCCCAAAGCTTCTAAACTGCTTTTGCAAGTGTGATCTGGAACTGGTAGCACTACCATTATCTGGGAGTTTGTTATAAATTCAAGTTCCTGGCCCCTTACTGAATCAGAATCAATTGCTGAGACCTACTCCCAATGTGTTAAACAAGCCCTCCAGCTGATTCTGATGCTTGCAAAAGTGCAAGAACCACTGGGTTACATCCTGTTATTAGACAACTACGCAGGAAAGTGACAGCTATGTTATCAAACTGCTTTCAAAGATCCCCTAAAACCTGAATATTTTAAAGTATTTCTTCCAAAAATACCACAAGATTCTTTTTGTATGGATGACAGGGGACATAAGTCCACCTTGACCCCTGGCAGACCAGGCTAGTTCAAGGATCTCCTAGGGAAAACCTTTCCGTAAAGAGCCATATCTTTCTGTAAATACAAACCATATCATTTCTGTCAATATTCAACTCTGCCACTAAGGCTCAAAAGCAGCCACAGACAATACACAAACCAGTGGGTATGACTGTGTTCCAATAACATTTTAATAAATGGAGGCAGTAGCCTGGATTTGTCCCCATGGCCTGAAGTTTGCTACCCCTGTCCTAGGGAGTAAGCTGCTTGGGGTTTTAATCTGATGAACCCTGGGGTCAATGTAGACATTCCCCTGAAAAGACCCCACAGGCATGCAAGCCATGTAGTTGCCCAGCTTTGAGTCCAAAGAGAGAGCCCGGAAACAGCGACAGAGACATCAATGGTTTAATAGATGGGGATCTTACGCATCTGAAGCAAAGTCCTGGAGCAACACCCTCACTGTGCATGGCAGACGGCGAGCAGGACATGGTAGCAGTCTTTGCTACACAGGGGAGGAGGCTACCATTTATAGGGGGAATTGACGTCAGGGTGGCTCATCAGTTACCAGGGAAACCAGCAGCTGAGACCCATCCCTTGCAGCCCCTCAGGTTAATGACCAACAGGAGGGCAGATGTTTCCCTTTAATAAACTAGCAGGTGGAGCCATTCTGGACTAAGGCTTAGAACAATCACTGGCGGGGGCAGGGGGCGAGCACGTCCAGGTGAGCAGGGTGTAGGCGCAGCAGGTACTGGTCACGCATGGCATGTACAGAGAGCAAGAGAACAGCCACCTTGAGCCATCTGACCACACACTCCACCCCCACATACCCTGCACGACCCTTACCATCTGGGTCAGCCCCTCTTATGCGATATTCCTGGGGTCAGGTATCTAGAGGGGCACTGCAGCCCAAATACCACACATGCAGTACACACAATAGCAGCCGAAGAATATCAAGAGTGCAAGACGTGGGCAAACTTTGAGGCCAGGCACTTTATCCCGTCAATTTTTCATGGAAATCCCGAGGAGGACATTTTGCTGTAGATCCAGCAATCAAACTCATTTCACAGTGAGGCCACTGTTATCACCCAGTCCGCGAACAGATTGCCTCTGCTCGGACCAGGGACAAAATGTAATAAATGTTTAACAGGCACAGGAGATCATGACCATTAACGAAAATACAAGCAGTAACAGCATTCTCAGGTAACACCACCCCTGCCTGTGATTTTTGTCCTGGCCTGCAGTACCATTCCACCTGTCCACCCTCAGTGTCCACAGCCAGTGCCAATACAGGCAAGGTGGTAGAACAACAGACCTCGAGGTTAATATAATGGGGCCTTCCTCCAGTAGGGGCCTGGGTTAATTACCTTAGTAGTGGTAGGTGGGGTGGGTAGAAGACAGGTGAAATCTGTAAGTCCCTTTCTAATCCTATTCCCCACAGGGCGGCAAACCCAAACCATGGGGGACTTACCTGCCAGTCCCAGAGCCATTTATTTTATTTATATATTTATTTTTAAATTTTTTTGCAGTACGCGGGCCTCTCACTGCTGTGGCCTCTCCCGTTGCGGAGCACAGGCTCCGGACGCGCAGGCTCAGCGGCCATGGCTCACGGGCCCAGCTGCTCCGCAGCACCTGGTCCTCCTGGACCAGGGCACGAACCCGTGTCCCCTGCATTTGCAGGCGGACTCTCAACCACTGCACCACCAGGGAAGCCCCAGAGTCATTTATTTTATAATGTGTTCCCCTGGAGGTAGATCCTGTGGCGGGGGCAAACGTGAATTATCACCCTGACCAGTAGTTGGCAATGGTCCCTGCAGTGGTTAACAGGTGAACTCCGGTGGTGCTGACTAGTTGATTCTAGTTAACCCAGCTGGAGGGTTAACATGGAGTAAGCTCTGAGACGACTGCTCCTGGGATCTTCAGTTATAGTTCGTAGGGCCTGAGTTAGCCTCCTGGTCCACACAGAGAGCGGGTTTCCCGTCTCAGCTGTAGTCCACTCATCCTTTCAACTAGCCTGCTAGCAGTGGGGGCGCAGGGTAGGTAGAAAGGACAGTGTGTCATTTCATTGGCCCATTTCTGAATTTCGTGGCCAGTAAAGTGGATTCCTTGGTTGCTATCCATGTCCACAGAGGTCCTATGTCACACACAGCTGTTCTAGACCCTGAATAGTGGTTTTTACATTGCTCCAGGACTCGAGTAGGCCTTTTATAATGTCTTCCACCTGTTATAACTCTCTGTAGACTGCGTATAGCTACTGTTCCATCACACTGCATCACTGCTTTGCCCCCTTCCATAGCTGGGAACAGAAGCCCAAGGGTACTCTTATTATTTTGCCGTTGCCATAGGCCTGAACCAAACCCTTCCAGGTAACTGGCCATGTCCAATTCACAAACCTGTCCCTAAGTTAATACCCCTAAAGCCTGTCTGTAGTTGTTTAAGGGTAGTAGGTTGGGGGTGTACTTGCCCTTTGTGGATAATTCAGGTCCTGACGTTTTGTCTGTATTCACCAGCCATCCCCGTGCAGTCAGATGAGCCACGAGCATAGCGCTGCTACTTTTAAACTCAAAAGAGACTGAGTGGGCAGAGACTGACTGGTGGCGCAGTGGTTGAGGGTCCGCCTGCCGATGCAGGGGACGCGGGCTCGTGCCCCGGTCTGAGAAGATCCCATGCCGCGCAGCGGCGGGGCCCGTGAGCCATGGCCGCTGACCCTGCGCGTCCGGAGCCTGTGCTCCGCCACGGGAGAGGCCACAACAGTGAGAGGCCCGCGTACCGCAAAAAAAACACAAAAAAACAAAAAACAGACTGAGTTTAACAGGATATCATCAATACAATGGAAGAGAAAAAACACCTTTCACGGTAGTCAGCTGCCACAGGGCTCCACATGTTAGTGGGCGGCCACCTTGGGATCTCCCTCCGACTCCCCACTGCCTCCCGCAACTTTCCGTCCCTGTCCTTCCTTCGCTACATCTTGGCACTCACGGGAGTTCCCTAGGCCTCCTGGCTGGCTTGTGAATTGTTGGGCTGCACCTCGCAGGTCTGCAAGCCTTGTGGATGACCAGGCTCGAGGCCGAAGAAAGAGCCCAGTGACAGCGCCAGCTTATTGGACAGGGCACCTTACACGTCCGAAGCAAGGTCCTGGAGAAACACCTCCACCGTGCGGGTCACACCGCAAGCGAGACGCAGCAGCCTTCACTACTGGGAGGAGCAGGAAGCTACCTTTTACAGGGGGAACTGACGTCAGGGTGGCTCATCAGTTACCGGGGAAACTAGCAGATGAGACCCAACCCTTACAGCCCCTCAGGTTAACTAGCATCATGGGGGCAGGTGTTTCCCTTTAATAAACTAGCAGGTGGAGCTGTTCTGGCCTAAGGACTAGAACAATCACTGGCTGGGGCAGGGGGCAAGCACATTCATGTGAGTAGGGCGTAGGCGCAGCAGGGACTGGTCACGCTAAGAGCAAGAGAACAGCCATCTTGAGTGGCCTGACCATACAACCCCCAAACTAACAATCTGAGGTGCTTTTGTAGGCCAGAAACCTCCCTGACTGGCTTCCAAGGGGTAGAATCAGATGTAGTTAAGTGTACTTCCTGCACTGTCTCCCCTCAGTGAAGCCTGACAAGGGGAGTAGAGACTGTAGGAAAAAAGCACTGTGACCCAGAAGCCTGGGCTGAACCCATCAGGCAAAAGAACTGGGTTGAGCTCAGCAGCAGAATACCTGTCACACTTACCTCTTTCCTCAGAGATATCAGCCAGTGCTCACTTTTTAAGGCTTTGAGAGTTTATAAGGTTTATGTGTTGAGATTTTACCAAAACGTTCAAGTTTCAACCAAAAAAAGAATATATTCTGATTCAAATGCTATAACATCATTACACCAAAAAAATTTTTAAAATAAACATTTTAAAACAGACACATCTAGTTAGTGCAAGGGATGTAACAAGACTGTGATTTTACCTTAGCATTTATATTGAATCTAACATGTTGCATCTTTTTCACATACATTTCTTGCCTAACAGAAATGGAGGTGTGGGCTTCCCTGGTGGCACAGTGGTTGAGAGTCTGCCTGCAGATGCAGGGGACACGGGTTCGTGCCCCGGTCCGGGAAGATCCCACATGCCGCGGAGTGGCTGGGCCCGTCAGCCATGACCACTGAGCCTGCGCGTCCGGAGCCTGTGCTCCGCAACAGGAGAGGCCACAACAGTGAGAGGCCCGCGTACCACAAAAAAAAAAGAAAAGAAAAGAAATGGAGGTGTATCCCCATCAAAAGGAAAGGCTCTTATAATTCTGATGTCCCTATGTTAATTTTATTTGTGATGTCATCCTTGCCCAGTTCACTTATTAGCACTGATAATCCCCATCTTTGATTTAACCAAAAACAACAAAGAATTTTCAAAAAATGAAGTCTTATTTCAATCAGTGCATCCACAGTTCTTGGCCTCTCACTGGGAAGCTGCAAGGTGTCCTTGAATAAGATCCTGAACACGGGACAAAATAATTTCATTAGAACTGTTGCAATTTTCTGGACCATATGGTGGATCTATAGTCAAGACCCCAGCCACACAGAGAGTCCTTCGTGAATCTCCCTCTTCAGTGATGGGGATGTGGTTCTTCTCCAGCCATTTCTTCAGGCTGTTCTTTCTCTTTTCCAGATCCTCAGGGCTGTACGCCTTACAGTCTCCAGACATGAACAAATCCATCAGCTTCTCTCTCACGCTATGGTCCCCTTCATTCAAAATTTCAACAGTCTGCACAGCATGTCCCATAATTCCGGTCACAGACATGCTGCCATCTTCAAGGAAGTTCACAAGGACAATACTTTGGAGGAAAAGTAAGTTCAGAGCACAGTTGCAAAAGAAAAACCAAAAGGCCTATAAAACTATGGAAGAAGCAGTGAAATGAGAGTCAGCATCAACCCCCAACAGGTCACTAGAACAACAGGGAATGCTCTTCCCCATTTTAAATTACTCCTCTCACCACCAAATGTTTTCACTTGTTCAATACGAATTCTCTGATGGTCCTAAACATCTAAGGCTTTTGTCCAGCCTAAAGCTAATCATTGTGGGATGTCATTAAAGCATTACTTAAAGAGTTATGAATGCTTTAAATGTGTATTAGGAAAGAAGATAGGGTACAGATTTAACTTTTAGAGTTCAAAAGCAACTGAATAACTCTCCTTCAGAGCAGACCAAAGAAAATAACACAGCACAAAATTAATGAGAGAGAAAACAAAAGAGTATGCAACTAGAGACTGTCATACTAAGTGAAGGAAGTTCAGAAAGAGAAAGACAAATACCATATGATATCACTTTTATGTGGAATCTAAAATATGGCACAAATGAACCTATCTACAACACAGAAACAGGGAATTCCCTGGTGGTCCAGTGGTTAGGACTCTGTGCTTTCACTGCCAAGCACATGGGTTCAATCCCTGGTTGGGGAACTAAGATCCGTAAGCCACCTGGTGTGGCCAAAAAACCAAACAAACAAACAGGAAAACAAAAAAACACAGAAACAGACTCATAGCCATAAAGAACAGACTTGTGGTTGCCAAGGCAGAGGGGGAGAGGGACAGGGATGGACTAGGAGTTTGGGGTTGGTAGATGCAAACTATTACATTTAGAATGGATAAACAACAAGGTCCTAAGGTATAGCACAGGGAACTATATTCAATATCCTGTGATAAACCATAATGAAAAAGAATATAAAAAAGAATGTATATATGTGTATAACTGAGTCACCTTGTTGTACAGCAGAGATTGACACAATATTGTAAATCAACTATACTTCAATTAAAAAAAGTCAATAAGAGGATCATCAAAGCCAAGAGCTGGTTCTTTGAAAAGGATATATAAATTTCACAAAACTCAGGCAAGATTAATAAAAAGAGAAAGAAGGCACATATAAATAATATTAGGAATAAGGTAGCGAAAATTAATAGTATAAAATATTAAGAACAAATTTAGGTAAATAATTTTGAAACTGAAAACAGAAAACTTCCTAGAAAATATAAATTTCTACTACTGACTCAAAAAAAAAAAAAGAGAGAGAGAATGTAAATAGTCCTATAATCGTTTTTTAAAAACCTGAAATAACCAGTTTAAAATCTTCCCATGGAGGGGGAAAAAAAGGCCCAGACAATTTTACCAGGAAGTTCTATAAAATTTTCAAGGACCAGACATTTCTAATCCAACCAAATTCTCCTATGGACTATAAAAGGGAGACTATGCCTTAACTCATTTAATGAGGCTAATATAACCTTGAGACCAAAAGCAGAAAAGAGCAGGATTAAAAAATAAAACTATAAGCTAATCTCACTCATGAATACAAATGGAAAAATCCTAACTAAAATATATGATATGGTGTATGACATGATGTGATGCAATGTGACGTGATGTGAATTTCATTTCTGTGGTACTTTTCCCAAAAACCTATAACCCCAGTCTATGAGAAAACATCACAGGGAATTTCCTGGCAGGCCAGTGGTTAGGACTCTGCACTTTCACTGCCGAGGGCCCGCATTCATTCCCTCGTTAGAGAACTAAGATCCCGCGAGCCATACGACGCAGCCAAAAAAAAAAAAAAAGAAGAAAAAAAAGAAATCATCACACAAACCCAAATTGAGAGATATTCTATAAAATACCTCACCAGGACACTTCAAAAGTGTCAGGGTCATGAAAAACAAGTAAAGACTGAAAAACTGTCACATATCAGAGAAGACTAAGGAGACAGGATGCCTACATGTAATGTAGGACCTTGGACTGGATTCCAGAACAGAAAAAGGCCATTAGTGGAAAAATTGATAAAATCCAAATGATTGCAGTTTAGTGAGTGTAAATTTTTAATTCCGACAAATGTTTGACAGTTGTGTAAACTGTTAACATTAGGGGAAGCTGGGTATATAGGTACTCTCTGTACTTTCTTTGCAATTTTTCTGTAAATCTAAAATCATTCCAAAATAAAGTGTGTGGATCACCACCTTTAAAGTTGCCTTGCAAAAAATAAATCTGATCCTAATCAAACCTCTAGTTATGAATACCAGTTTACAGGAAATACGAAGGATAAAAGAACATGTTAAACTATGCCATGATAAATGCAATGAGCTAAATCCAGAGTGTGTTGAATTCTATAGACAAATGATTCCATTTCTTCAACAAATAAATGACATGGAAAACCAAAGAGAGAGAAAGTACAGTTATAGATTAAGATTCTTCAGAGACATATCAACAAATTGATATGCTTAAAAAGATACATTGGAGACAAACAGGAAAATCTGAACTCAAACTAGGAATTAGCTAATATTAAAGTTATTATTACTTTTGCTAGGTGTTATAATGGTATTGTGGTTACATTTATTAGAGAGTCCAAATCTGCTAAGAGATATATTGAAGGATTTATGAACAAAATTATGTCTGTAATTGGCTTTAAAATATTTGGAAGGGGGAATAAGATTAGTGTTCATTATACTACTCTCTTCACATTTGTGTATATTTGAAATTTTCCAATAAAATGTAATATAAAAGGAGTGTCCCATTTCTACGAACTTGGCTGGTCTGACACAAATCTATAATTAGAACAATACTTAGCTTCAAAGGAAATTAAATTCTTATGTGGGAATAATTAGCCTTTCATTTATCTGCTTTCTTAGTATGGATGTAACAGTGCAAAGGGGTGATTTCTGGGAAGCAGGACCCATACTCACTTGGTAGAGACTGGGTCTACGGTTAAAACCCATCCTTTATACTCCTTCTCACTGGCTGTCACTCTGACTTCTTTGTAAGTGTAATCTTGCCATTCTAAGGGGCCTTTCTTCATCCATTCATTCATGGTTGCCAGTTGGCTAGATCTAAAACAACCACCAGTTCGGATTAATATATATGTTCCACCCAGGCAAATGTCTTACTCCAATCTCCATTCTAGAGGTAGAGAACACCTGCAATTTGCCTCAAGTTCCATAACAGAAAGGCAGTTAAATTTTACTATTCAGTCTGAAAGCCACGGGGACATCGAGTTGCCGCGGGTCCCAGTCTGGGGTAACTTATCTGGCACACTCCTATTTCACCTCCCAATCCCATTCCAGATCGCCTTCACGCTGGCTTTGATCTCCAGTCTACAGATGCTCAAATCCTTGAACTCTGCTCTCCTTCCATCAAAGGAGCTCACGCCACACGACTCTTAGCCAAAAATGAAAAAGAAAACTCCTCTGATATCCACCCACTCCCTCTCTGGCTCTGTGTCTCCGCTGGATCCCGCCAGGGAGAGGCCCCCGGATCTGTGACACTTTTCATCTTAAAATTTGTTTGGAGGATGCGTAAACGAAGGGGCAGCAGCTAAGGCTCTAGAGCTGATGCCCTGGCGTAACCCGAAGCCGCATGATACTTTGAGCTGTACTCAAGCCAGGTGATACTTAGCGTGTAATCCTGACAAATGAGAAAAATACCAGTTAAATCTCCTAGCACCGCCAGGTCCTCAGCAGCCGCGTTGGAAGGAAGGAGTCTCTTGAGCCGAGCCTGCCGGAGTCCAGCGTGCTTTGCGCCGTGTCGTCACTTCCTTCGCCCAGAATTCTCTGTTTTGTAGTCCGTGGCCTTGGTCAAAACTCGAGGTCTGAGAGTCCCGAGTCCTGGGGTGATGAAATTGGGGTTCAGGGTGTGGAGCGGGGCTAAGATTTTTTTGTAATAATAATAATAATAAGATTTCTTGTTCGCTGGGGTCCGCCTTTCAATGCCACATTGGACATTTCAAGATAAAAATTTTAAGAGGGAAGACTCGTGCCACCTCTTCCCTGAGAGTGGAAGTGGAATTCCACTTTTGCCATGAACCCTCCAGGTAAATCCTAAAGCTCTGGAAGTGTGAGGTGACAGTGCCTTGGAGAAGAGCCACAGAACCAATGTATTTCTTCTTTGGCCTGTGTAAGGCAATTAAGATGCCTACTCTTTTGGGATGTGCCTTTGGTACAGTCCTGAGGGTGTGCAGGAGCTGGAAAGAAAAGCGTAGGATTGGGTTGAAAAAACGCAGGAGTGGAAAAGTGCAAGAGACTCGCTTCCACAGATTTCTGGTCACTGGAGTACTTCGTTGGCTTCTGGCATGGTCCAGAATTTTTTCCGGACTATGATCCTGAAAAATGGTACAAGGTGGTAAATGTTGATTGAATTCCTGCAAATGTGAACACCAAGGGAGATTTACAAAAACTGAGTTAGAGGACTGTCAAACCACGGTACAGAAAACACCGACAGTTAATCCGCTTTCCCCTTGCTACTTGGGATTTGAGTTGCATATAATCCTTGAAGTTTTTGTTTCTTAATGTCATCGTTTCAAATAATCCTTCCCCAAACCTTCACTCATTGAATGATTGGCTTATGATATTAATGTGGCTTTCATAGATTAGATTTTGACATCTAATCTACAAAATCTAATTTATCAGTTCAAGTCCTCTATAGATCTACAAAGAGCTAATATAAATAGCAGTTATCATTGTTATGGTACTGTGAAGTAAAATATTTGAACTCATAAAAATTCAGTCTAGGGCTTCCCTGGTGGCACAGTGGTTGAGAGTCCGCCTGCCGATGCAGGGGACGCGGGTTCGTGCCCCGGTCCGGGAAGATCCCACATGCCAAGGAGTGGCTGGGCCCATGAGCCATGGCCGCTGAGCCTGCGCGTCCGGAGCCTGTGCTCCGCAACGGGAGAGGCCACAACAGTGAGAGGCCCGCGTACCGCAAAAAAAAAAAATCAGTCTAAAAGAGATACAACCAATTTGTGACAATTGGTCATTTGCATTTTAAGCCTACTATCTATACTGCAGAATGAAAGACTTTGGCCTTTGTTTTCTACAGGTAAAAGCTAGCCTCAAGCTTAAAGTTACCCCCTGTAAAGCAATGAGTGAGACAGGGCCATCTCCCTCCCTTTTCTCCCCTCTCCCTTTAGGCTCCTAAGTAAACTAAAGTCTCATTCCCAGTATCCACTGATACAAATCACTGACTTCTAACAGAATGAGTCCAGCGCATTACCTTACACAAGTTCTCAGAAAGACCCTCTCCTGCAGCCTGTCCTCACTGAGTTCAGAGAGTGCGGCACTTCCTTTCCCTGGTCAACTCCTGCTCTTGGTACCCCTGGAGCCTCCCTCATCTCCAGTTGATGTCCCTTCTCTCACATTCTCTACTCTTCTCCCTCTCTTTCCCCACCCACTCCATCCATCTCCTTCCTAACATCTACCTCTCTCTCAAAACTTCACATTTAACCCTTTCCTCTGCCAAGACCAAAATTGCTTATTTTAGATTTTGAAGCACATTTCGTTTAGTAAGAAAGACATTCTAAAGAAACTTTTCTTAAATTCCCTGAGGAAAATCAGAAGTTAAAAACATTGTCAATAGTCTTATGCTGTTTACTTTATCATAGTGCAAAGATAAACCTGCCCTGCCCTGGCTAAACTATCACAAATTTCAGTTCACAGTGTTGAGTCTTAAAAGTGGGTAAAAAATGAAGTGGGGGTGGGAGTGGTAATTTACTGAGTATATTTCATGAAAGGTAAGGTCAGAAGAAAATAACCCTGGTCATTTTGGCCCAAGATTTTTTTAGTTTTCTTGCTTTCTCATTGATTCAATAAATAGAACCCATTAGAAATATCCATTCTTTATCTCTGTTTATTCATCAAGCATATATTGTGTACATATACATGCTACGCTTTCTGTTGAGAACTAGGAATTAATAAACTAATTGTAAGAATGTTTTGCCTTTGGGGAGTTGATAACGTCTTCTTGTACTTGTAACCAAGTAAGCTAGCATTCTACCTGGAGGTGGTAGTAAATGTGAAGAGGTGGGGAAGGCATTCTTAGAAAAGCTTTTTAAACACGTACCCCTTGGGCTTCCCTGGTGGCGCAGTGGTTGAGAGTCCGCCTGCCGATGCAGGGGACGCGGGTTCGTGACCCGGTCTGGGAAGATCCCACATGCCGCGGAGCGGATGGGCCCGTGAGCCATGGCCGCTGAGCCTGCGCGTCCGGAGCCTGTGCTCTGCAACAGGAGAGGCCAAAACAGTGAGGGGCCCGCGTACCGCAAAAAACCAAAACAAAACAAAACAAAAAACCCAACAAACACGTACCCCTTGGACTTGATTTATAGGCAATGAGAAACACCCACAAAAAATTCTGTGTCTATGGGACACAGAACCTGATCAAGGGCGGTGTGGGTTGGATTGAAGAACAGTGGACAGGGGGTTTTAGCAACACTGGTTTTAATTTGGTTAAATCCTGTAGTGTCCTGGCTCCTGCACACCACTGACTGTGCTCTTACCAGCTGTATGATTTTGAAAGTCATTTGCCTTCTTAAATTTCAGTTTCCTCATCCATAAATGAAAACATGGAATTAGATGATCCAAGATCCTCTCAGCACTAAATTTTCATGACTGAGACATACAGAGTCACTTAGGAAAGCCCTGTAAACTCTCAGGGCAGGGGCCATGTCTGTTTTATTCACTGCCATATACACCACCTCTAGCAGATTGCTTGGTATATAGTAAGATGCTCAATTTGAATTGAATTTTTATTTCTTAATAAAAATTATATTTTATTGTTATATAGCACCTAATATGTGCCATGCACTATTCTAAGAACTTTCAAATATTAACTCATTTTTATGAGTGAATAAACAGACCAAAGACAATGGAAGATATGTGAGTAATGGAATGATATGGTTAAATTGGTGTATTAAAAAGGATGCAGAGAAATTGGATGTGGGGAAAATAGGGAGGTATAGAGCATATACAGCATACACCTTTATGTAAAATGTAGCCTTTCTACTAAAACAAAGCAGCGGTATTAGGTGGAAAAAATTCCAGAACCAGTTTCCAAATGGAAAGTCAGTTTTTGGGAGGCAGCGTCTCCAAATTGATTCATTATCTGACTCACCCAGCCCAGCCTAGCCCTACCCAGCCCTGTCTACCACAAAGAGGGCAGATCTGTTTTCCCAGCAGAAGATAGAATTTTTTCCTTGGATAAAAACGATTTGAACAGACTCTGGGGACTCTAAAGAACTAAACAAATGTAAGGCATAAAAGTTTAGAAAACTGCTTCTGTACTGTTGTATCTCAAATATGCCCAGATAATAACTTTATGGCTAAAAATCAGTGCCTTTTTTTTTTCCATTGAGTTCCTCTTATTTAACCAAGTAATCAGTCTAAATGTAAGATGTACATGTTTTACACAGATTTTTTTTTTAATTTTTATTATTTTTTGGCTGCACTACACAGAATGTGGGATCTTCATTCCCCGACCAGGGGTCCAGCCCGCACCCCCTGCAGTGGAAGTGCAGAGTCTTAACCACTGGACCACCAGGGAAGTCCCGAGATTTTATTTTTATTTGAAAAAAGAAGTGGAGTTAACCATTTTAATTTTTCCCTGGAATTGCCTTGGAACAAAAAAGGATGTTCGGTACTGAGTTCCTAAGAACTACTGCAGTAGTCCAGACAGGAAATAGTAAAGTCCTAGCGTAAGTTGATAGCAGTGGAAATGAAAAAGAGAGAAAAAAAAGAATAGCTTCAACAAATATTTCAAAGGAGAAATCAAAGGATTTAGTGACTGTTTGGGGGCAAGGACATGTTGAGAACTTTGACACTAGGCCTTTAACAGAAATTCTCTTTGTTCTTTTATTCATTCATAACTTCCTCTTCCTTTTTATTTTTCAAGTATCTCAGGCCTCCGAATAGTTATCTACTAAATTAGATAAGAAAATTTTATCATTAAATTAAAAATGCTTCACTAGGCCTATATCTGTGTTTATGACACAGGAAGGCAACAGTGAGGTACCTCCTCCAAGCTCTTATAAACTAACCCTCAAGATTAAATAAAATGGGTGTGATTAGATGTGATACATTTGCACAAGGAGACCATCTATTATCTGGGTAACTAAGAATGTGGAAATGACCAAATTCCAAACTAAGTGAGTTTGTTGTACCCTCTGGAAGCAGGACTATATTTTAGTAAATGGAAACAGTTATATTGTATCCTACTTGGACTGAGTAACCCAGGGTTGGCAGAAGGCATAGAAGAAGGAACGTCAGCAGGCAAAACGCTGGGAGGTATTTCTTAGAGACCCTGAATCTGGAAGGCAGGGGCTTTCCAGAGACGTATGCATATTGTGGGGAATGGATGATTCATCAAGTCTCACCCTGGCCTGGAATAGATGTTTCTGAAACTATCTGCCTCCTTATACTCAGATTCCATGCCCACCAGACTGCCTTGTGACTCCTCTACTGGTTTTCTAGGTACACAGTTTATCAGGAGAGATGGTTCTCGAGACAAAAACATGAACACTATAGGGAGGGTGGGAGGGAGGGAGACGCAAGAGGGAAGAGATATGGGAACATATGTATATATATAACTGATTCATTTTGTTGTAAAGCAGAAACTAACACACCATTGTAAAGCAATTATACTCCA